AGCAAAAATAATAAAAACGGATGGTTCACCTCTGGATAAAGATGCCTAGCATCGGCCCAGTAAATTTGTTCCTGCATTCTTTATTTTCTCAGGTGGATGTCACATTAAACGAACGACTGGTGTCTTCTTCTAGTAACACATACCCCTATAGAGCTTATATTGAAACTTTGCTCAATCACGGCTATGATAGTAAAACTTCAAAATTGACAGCTGAAATGTATGACAAAGATCTAGAGAAGCGATCTTCCTTTTTCAAACTGAGTTCTACTGTTGATATGATTGGTGGCATTCATTTTGATTTATTTCATCAAGAAAGGCTTTTATTAAATATGGTGGATGTTAAATTAACTCTCATAAGAAGCAAGCCGGAGTTTTGTTTGCAAGGAAAAGCAGGTCATAAAGTGGTTTTAGAACATGTATCTCTTTTCGTGAGAAAAGTGCGTGTGAGCCCTGGAGTTATCCTAGGTCATGCCAAAGCGTTAGAGAAGAGTAATGCCAAGTATCCTATTAATAGAGTATTATGTAAAGTCTATTCCATTCCCCAAAATAGCATGTCCTTGATACAAGACAATGTTTTTGTTGGTCAGATGCCTCAGAGAATTGTAATTGGATGTGTTGATAATGACGCTTTTCACGGAAATTTCGCCAAGTCACCATTTGAGTTTAAACATTATCACCTGAATTTCATTGGAGTGTATGTCGACGGACAGCCTACGCCTTACAATCCGCTGGAACCAAATTTTGATAACAACATTTATATTCGAGCTTATCATAGCCTGTTTTTCAATAAATCCCAACAAGATAAAGGCATTTTTATCTCCAGAGAAGACTATTTACAAGGTAACGTGTTATTTGGTTTTGAATTATCGCCAGACCTTTGTGATGGGGAGCATATGAATCTCATTAAGCATTCTAATCTACGGATTGAGTTAAAGTTCAGCCAACCTCTCGAGCAAACTGTGTGTGTGATTATCTTTGCAGAATTTGATAACGTGATTGAAATTAATAAATCGAGGAACATCATTTTTGACTTTAACTGATGGATGGTCGTATTATACAAGACATTTTATCTCGTGAAGCAGCAGCTGTCTTTCGAGGAGTTTATCCAGCAGATAAAATACCTCCCTTAATTAGAAGATCAGCCATCGTTGTGAATACAGACAAGTCCACAGAACCCGGAGCGCATTGGGTAGCCTTTTTTCAAGATGAAGAATTAGAATTTTTTGATTCTTATGGACAATCTCCAGATGTTTATGGATTTCACTGTTCAAATGTAAAATGGAATAATATTCCATTACAGAGTGTAACTTCTAATGTATGTGGAGCATACTGTATTTATTATGTACTGAAACGAAGCCAAGGCCAATCTATGTTTATGCCATTATTGAAAATTTATGTAAAATGAGTGATTTTAACCTGTATCAATTTGTGAAAAAACTTATGGTGTAAGAATGATTTTTAAACAATAAAATATTTGAAATGTATTTTTTCTTTTGTGTTTTATTTTTCTGACTGAATAAATTTTTTCAACTTATATAAAAGCATATTGAGTTTTAAATAATGACAACCTTTTCATATGAAGAAAAACACAAATAACACTTTTCGACCTAAAAAAATAAAGTGAAATTTTTTCGACCTAAAAATATCTAAATGAATTTTTTTCGACTTTTCAAAATCAAAGTGTAAATTTTTCCCCTTACATTTTGAAATTAACATGAGTTTTCCCATAGAAAAAATAAAAGTTGAGATTTTTCTCCCTAAAAAAATTAAAGTGAAATTTTTTCGACCTAAAAATATCTAAATGAATTTTTTCGACTTTTAAAAATCAAAGTGTAAATTTTTCCCCTTACATTTTGAAATTAACATGAGTTTTCCCATAGAAAAAATAAAAGTTGAGATTTTTCTCCCTAAAAAAATTAAAGTGAAATTTTTTCGACCTAAAAATATCTAAATGAATTTTTTCGACTTTTCAAAATCAAAGTGTAAATTTTTCCCCTTACATTTTGAAATTAACATGAGTTTTCCCATAGACAAAAATAAAAGTGGAGATTTTTCTCCCTAAAAAAAAAAATTAAAGTGAAATTTTTTCGACCTAAAAAAATCTAAATGAAATTTTTCGACTTATAAAAAAAAAAATAAAATAAAAAAAAATAAAAATAAATAAAAAAAAACTGAAGTTTTTCATCTTAAAAACTGTAAATAAAACTTTTTCCGTCTTAGAAAAAATCTTTTTATTTTTTATTTTATTTATTTTTTCATAATTATTTTTTATTTCGGAAAAGTATCTTATTCCTAAGAACACAATAAAGACACATATATCAAGTTAACATTGTTTTATTTAATATCTAATCCATGCATTTCTTCGAGCATACATGACATTTAATTTGTTATGAACATCATACATAGTAGGTAAACCTAATTCTTTTAACACAGCATAAAATTCATTTTGTCCAACAACTGGTTTTTTCTTATTTCTTAAAAAATGATTGATGAGTGTCACAACATGAGTCCCTGGAACGACTTGATCCCGATAAATGAGTTCACCTCCATCTGAAATATGTTTCTTCACATGATGATAAATGTCTTTTGCTTGAGACTTGTATTTTAAAGGAGCCACATTCACAACTTTTTTCTCAAATGGATCTTCCGTAGGAATTTCTTCTTTCTTTACCAAAGTGTCTTCTTTCTTTTCCATAGGTTTCTCTGCTTTTTCAACGGGTGGTGGTAATTGATACGTAATATATTCTGGAGTACTTGTAGATACAAAGCTGCTTTTTCACTTTCATCAAGGTCTTTTTTCTTTAAAATTCGATCCATTTTCTCATCCAGTTCGGTAAGATGTTCCACCGTTTGTCGTCTTTCTTCTGGTACGATGAGAAGTTTTTTACTGAACTCCATGAATAAGAGAACTAATGACAGAAATAGCCGCAGGTAAGAGAACACTGAGAAAACTTTAAAGACATTTCCCTTTTTGTACAAGCAGTCTTCTTTTCTTATAAAGAGGTACTTTTTTATTGGCGAGTTTTCGTAAACTTCGTTTATAAGGCGCTAATTGAGCCTTTCGCTTGGGGGAAACGGCAAGATGACCTCGAAGCAAGTTTAAGGCACACTCACACACAGTTTTTATGACACTATTGGGGCACTTGCGAAGCAAATCACTTGAAAATTTACTTTTCGAGATGAGTTTCAATTGCTCTAATTGGTGCAGCGAACAGTTCGACATTTTATACACGAATGACAGTAAAGAAAAAAGTGTTGGGCTTTTATAGAGTCTCTACGAAGCGTGCATAAGCGGCGGCTTTTTGAACAGCACAGTGTGAAAAGTTCTTCACATGCAAATAAGGGCATACTATTTCTCCTGAAGGTAAGTCACAAAAACGGGGACAGTTTTCATCATCCAAATTAATCACTTCTTTTCTGGTATGATTTTGAAAATATTTCTTTTTTTCCAGACCTTTGACATATATTTTTTTAAATGAACGAAACAGCATCTGAAGGACTAAATTTAAATCTGCATATGACATTTCTCCATATGTCCAGTCCATATTATGTATATTCCGAGATACCCACGAAAACGTGAGTTGTGTTTTCTTGCTGAAATCTTCAAAGGAACAGGGGGGTTGAAAAGTCCATCTGCCACGATACGTTGGGTCCCCTACGGCAAAAGCTGCAAGTTCTTTAATAAAAAACTGTCCTGAAGAATGTTGGAAGCCTTCAAAGTCGATCACCACAGACATCTTCACTCGTTGACAACTCACCAGCAAATGACTAGCGAGGTTGATAGACGTAGTATTTATCGTTAGGAAAAAGCCCCGTTCTCAGACGCATGGAGTCAGATGTTTCAGGTTTGAGGTCAACCAGTAAATAACTGTAAGGTTTAGATGTAGCATCCTGATACACTTCTTGAAAAAACTTGTTCTTTCCTGGATATAACTGCCTTCCCAGATGCATAATTTGAGACTTGTCTCTTGTATTTTTAAAGAGCACTAAATAATTAGCATTCAAAGACATTTCCCGAATACCTTTATGAAACAAATTTTGTACAATGAAAATAACACTAAGATTTCGATGATGAGATCCTTTGGTAAATAACTTAGTCAATCTTATATCATTTCCGAGTTCCGACATAAGATCATCAATAATAATCACAGAATTTGATAAAGTGTGGATGTTTTCAGGCAAACCATCACAAAATTCAATATGATTCATCTCATCGTAAAGACTTTGATAAGCACCATAGCACCAAATAATTTTAGGAGGAAAAGGAGTGATCATTTGGTGGTCCATTAATTTTTTAATAAACATGGTTTTTCCGCTACCACTAGGACCAGCAGCTAACATCGTGAAAGGATGCTTTAATTTCAACAGTTCCATCTTAACTAAATTCTTATTCGAAAAACAATTCTATTTATAGCTGTTCCACTAGATTTTTAATTTTTCTAACTTTCCATTTTTTGATAAAACTAAAATTAATTTTTCTAACTTGCCAGATTAATTATTGTAACTTGATTAAAATATTCTAACGTGTTAAACATTTTCTTAAAAAGATTAAGAGAACCCTCTCTTTACTGAAGACTTAGTCTTTTAAAGTACAAAACAAGAAATAATATATTTAAATAAACATTTATTAAAGTTTGAAGACATATCATTACACTTATTTACATCATAAATTTCCACAATAAAATACTTTTAGAATTTTGATTGAATGTACAGAGAATTTTGAGACAAAATTATTCAAACTAAAATTATATGGCATAATGTCCGTATGCATAGGACGATATTCCATCGTCCAAAATGTGCCGTTTTGTATCGAAAGGACACAAAGTAGCTTTCGTATAGGCCACAGTCTTTATCTGATGACTGTGGCTAGCAATACGTTGCGCATGGCGCAAGGCCGCGTTGTTGTTGTAAAAGACAGTTAACGTAGTCCACATGACGAATCTGTCTTTTAAGGATGGTTTTCGATACGCCCTTAGCAGTTTTTTTCTCAGTAGAGTTACTCAGTAGGCTGTACATTTTTGGCTTGAGTGAGTCCAACAAATTCTTTCTTGGGCAATTTGTCCAGATAGTTCATCTTTCATTTTACCGATCGTCTTTTTATTGGTAAGGCTGTAGAGGGGATGATTTTCTGGGTAATCTGAGGTATCGAATAAGTTCAGATTGTTGCCCATGTCTTGAAAAATATCATCAGTTTCTATTTCGTAACAAAGACTGTCGGTGTCTGTGAATAATAAACGGGCCTTTGATGCATATGTTTTCTTGATATATCCATAATGAAATTGATACATCAACGTTTTTGATAAATCCAAGATGCTGAAGCCTACATAGATAGGACGATTCAGAACCAAGCTGGTTTTCCGTCGCTCAATGGCTGCCAGATCGTCTGTGATGATCTTGAAGGAATGAAATGTTGGAGCAGCGACTAACTTCTTGGCTCGTTTCTCTCGATGAACCAGATCAATGCAGGTACGTTTTCTGAGATTTTCCATCGTCTTTCCGAAAACTGAATTGTTTAAGAGTTTAAATAAATCTTTTTCGAATGAAGATTTAGCCAGTTTACGTTGCCTAGTGTTGAATTCAATGTATGTTGCAAGCCAAGGAGATTGTTTGAACGTCAGCACTCGATGGATCTTGGTCACGTGAAGCCCCAGTGAAACATACTGCTTCAGATTTCGGTAATGTATCACGTACCGATGCTTAGGTCGCAGATTTGGCACCAGTTTGGTAGAACTGCTCGGTGGGATTTGGAATTTAGTTGCCAGGTCTCGCGTGTAAGGTGACCACATATCAGGAGTCACGACGACTTGTTCGGGAGCAAGAGGATAGTCCGAATGATCATCGTGAAGTTCCCTTGGATACTCCAGATCAACTTCAAGGATACATCCTTCTTCCGCATCGTCAGCCATCTCCATGAAGTTAAGAGGTCCGTCATGCCACTTGAAGTCATGGGTTGGTAAAGCTTGGCTCATGGCCCATCTAAAAAGATAGAATAAAAATAATGAATATCACAAGTAAATAATAGAGAAAATATTATATCTAAACATTTGGAAAGGATACTTACCCGTAAAGGTTATTGGCATCCAAATACATAATATAAGATGATGGCTTCGTTGGGTCATAATTTTCCATATATTTATTATTGGCTTGGCTGAAGCGATGTGAAATCATAGCGATGCCACCTCGAATGCCCTTTTCTATAAAGAGATACATATCAGGATCGGTGAGTAACTCCAGTTGGACGTCGGACATGCGTAGAGCAGCTTGCCAGGCCAGACCAGGGTGCTGTGTAAACATGTGCCGGATCCAGTTTGTAAAAATCAAGACACAGTCGTCTGAAGTTTTGAAAAATATCCGCCAGAAGCAAAACATCGCTTTTTACATAGAGGTCGTGGTAGTCTCCTAGATGATGTAATCCGAAATCTTCCCAGACTCTGTTCGCATGTTGGTAATCCTCATCGTTGGTATATATCACTCTCTGTTAAATGGCTGTAGAAGGCAGAGAGAGGTGGAAGGTGCGGCTCATCAAATCGCTCAAACGAATCTAAGTACTCATAAGGGTAGACACCTGGAAAAATTTTTTTTTAAAAATATCGAGATTAAAAAAAAACCTATATAAAAAAGTAATAATACATTATCATATATAAAAGTTATTATAGAAATTCTGATTACCTTTTCGAAGCATCAGATCTGTGTTTTTTCCCGAAAATAGGTTCTTGTCAGTTGGAATTGTTGTGGCTCCAAATTAGCCGCGAGCTTGTCTAAAGAAGCATTCAGAAATTGTGTAGAGAATCGATGAAGCGTAGACGACCCAAAGAAACAGAAGATGAATTTTTCTGAATTCTGCGGAATACACTTAATCTCTTCGTCTTTGAATTTTCCCACCGCTTGCATCAGGAGGTGAGAATCATATCCCTTCAGATTATGGAAGACCACGGGTAGAAAATTTGCAAATTTGAAATTGATGTTGCATCCATTATGAGCTGCACCTCTGTAGACTCCCGTAATATGGCAATAGTCCCGCACCTAAAAAAATGAAAAATTAGTTTTAAAAACACATTATTATAAATGCATATTACTGAATGAAGTTATAATATTCGAATAATACTTACCTTATCTCCATTCAATGTCTTCTTACAGATATGACATACAGAGGCAGATTCGTAGGCCCATTGATTTTCTTGAGTGAAAATCATAGGCTCTACAGTTTTCAAAATTTCAAAGATGCCCCTTTCTTCTTCCAGTAAACATGATAGAAAGTGGTTGACAGCGTCTTTCCCTCTATATACTTGA